AGCTACACTGAGTGATATGGCTGGGTGTCGCAAACAGTGGCGCTCGTGCATCCACTCGTTATTTTCCTAACACCACTCTTTACGAATTCCTCATCTTCCGCTTGAATGTGCTTCGACATTCCAATCTTCATTTCGCTCTTTTATCCAAATGGGCAACCAAAACCGGCGCACGAAAGTGCATGGTTAACGGTTGTAAAAACTGAAACTGATTCTCCGACTTAATCAGAAAATACGGCTTTTGTTATTACACACCTAAGTGTGAAGGAAAGCAGACGGGGTGAACCCCGAAGACCTGCTGTTCAGTGATGGTAATCGGCAACCTAATCCCAGGACTTGGAGTGGCGAACCACATAAGGCCTCGATAGGTTAGGGGTGGTATTGAACCGGACGCCAGCAGAGCTGCCTACCACCAAAGTGGGGTCGCGGCGGCAGGGCTCGAACCTCGGACCATAGGGTCCAAAGCATGCCGGTGACAGCGACTAAACCACTGCACTACCACCACCTCTTACGCTCCTAGTCTCTTCTTCGTTTCACTCGGAGTCAAATGCACAGGCGGAAGTATTCGTGGACGTGCGATGACCGAATTAGGGAGAAAGCAGGATTGGAAGAAATTTTGAACACGGTTCTGCTGGACTATCTAGCTGCGCCAAACAACCCTTCTTCTGACTTCTTGGTGAACAGACGACTCAGCCTAGTGCATAACGCTATTTAACCAAGTAGCGCAAACCTATATATTGTACCGAAAGTTGTGCCAGTGTTTTAACCAGCAGATATTATGTTCAGAAACTGTTGCTCTGGTCATGCTAACTGGTCATCAGCATCATCATCGCACAGCGGTATACAGTGGAGCGAACTTGACTGATCGCTGCCAAGCTCACAATGTATACAAATCAAGTGATAAAACACAAGATTGAAAGGGATTGGGCCTAATTTGAGGGAAGCAAAGAAAGTGAACCTCTATGGTCAACACAGATAGTACACAATCTAAGTGTGTATCCGTGCCTTTTCAAGCATTCTGACCTGATAAGAAATGACAACGAGAACTTCATTGCTGTCGGTTAGTTGCCATATTCTTCAGTGTCTCCAACCAACCTGTTACAGAGTCTTTTAGACCCCAACTAAAAGACGGGAAACACCTACTCTACCTAATCGCTCTGCAGCCCATCGCCGTGCTTTATTTGCATGACTGTGCAAGGTTAAAAGAAGCTTCGCGGTGGTCAGACCATGACATGGCGTAGAGGTATGAAGAAGTCAGCCTCAAAATTGGCATCGGTTGGTGCAGCTCGCATTCCAGGCTGGGGCCCAAGGGATGAGGATTGCCGATAGTTAGAGTCGCTGAGAGATGGCTCAAAATAGATAGCAATGGCGCTGTTGCTGTGCGGTTTGTTTGGCGAAACCCGGTTCCCCGTAACAAAAACATCTTCAAAAGTGTACGGTGAAACTATAAAAAGAATCATTCATTCATTCCTTTTTTCTCCCTGTTCTTTGGTTTTCCCATTCTCATTTGAGCTTTAGGTACCCCTCCATAACTTCTTTATCATTGGTTTGCATTAGCACCATGCTTGTGCTCAAGCCGATGGGAAATATATATATATATATATATATATGTGTGTGTGTGTGTGTGTGTGTGTGTGTGTTTGTGTGTGTGTGTGTGTGTGTGTGTG